AGCCGAACACGACAATTTTTTAAAACTCAAATTATAAACGAGCCGAACACGAACAACTCTTTGTTCACTCGTGTTCGGCTCGATTTAGCTATAAATAAGTATACATATATTATTTATATAATACTATATTATATATATTTATATCTAGTTTAAATCATAACACCTCAAATCATAACACCTCGTGTGGTAACTAAATTGTAACACCTCGTGTTTTTTTTTTTTTTTTTTTTTTTTTTGCATACATTTGATCCAAGTTCGAATAAAAAACTTTACATTTATTTTTTTCAACTTAATTTTAACGAGTCAATTTCGAGCCGAACATAAGCCAAACATGAACACGAATATTTAAATTAAGCCGAACACGAACACTTTGTTTATTAGTCAATTTCGAACACGAGTCGAACACGAGCTCAAGCTCGCAGCCCTAAGTGGCAATGCTTACATCCCAAGTATTTTCAGCTACTTCGAGTGCTGATAAGGTTGATTTTATAAATTTATATATTTAAAATCCTGTTTTTTTCTTGAAAAAAATTTTAAAAAAATGTCGATTTTAAAAGTCCCTCAAGTATTGATACATTTGCCCAAATGCAGCTTAACATTACTGTCCACCGCTGACGACTACCGCCAACCTTCATCGACCATCGTCAACCATCATCGACCACCAACAACTGCCGCCGACTATCGCTGGCCTCCATCGATCACCACCGACCGTTCTTGATAACTGCCGACAGTCATCGATCATTACCAATCATCATCAATCACTACCAATCAAACTTCATCAGTTAATATTGTGATATGAAAAATATAGTTATCATTTCCCGTCTATGAGACAAATGAAATTATCAATCAACAGTGAATTTTCACAACTTAGCCTGACTTCGTGATTTTTCCCTTTACGGGATTTCATGTAAAAACTTTTGGTGTCATCTCAAGTTATTTTTATTTTACCCGAGTGTGTTGAATTCTCGTGCAATGCTAATATGATAATTCATTACTCTACAGCTGTAAAATTTCTGACATGCATTATAGATGAAATTCAGTCCTTAAAAATTTAACTATGATGCCATGCTTATATAAAAGCATTTTGATTTGTTATTGACCCGTTGCTTTCAGTCTTCGGTGAGTGGGAGTGTGCTCATCTTTCATTGTGGGTCTCTTGCTAGCGTTTTTATTTTAGAATTTATAAAGTACAGAAACATAATATGTAAATGAACTTCAATCAACATCTTCCTTGTGTGTGTGGAATGAATCAATTGTATGGAGGGAGTTGCTTTTGGCCTCACAATCACAAACCTAGGTTTACTTATCTCTCCATCTCCCCATCATAATTTAGACTACTATTGTGAGCTATGCATATATCTGCCTAAATGCAGAACCAGTTTATGTCTGGAGTGGACAATTTACCCCTTAAAATTTATGATTTCTCTATATGAATAGTATAATTTAACATTTTTCTTATGTGATTTAGGCAGTTAGGTAATGTATCCCTCCCTAAATATATTTTTTGGCCCAATGCTTGACATAAGTTAGATATTGATGATTTTGTCCTGATATTTACACAGACCTCTCTCAAAATTTGTGAATGTTAACATATCACACTACATAGTTAAGTCCTCTTGGTCAAACTTACTTTTATCTTTTTATAAAATAGAATGAATATTAACATATCACATCATAGCAATAAAAAAATTTCGCAAAATGCATATAGAAAAACATTGCATTAGACATATTCCAACCAGAAGTGAGCCAGCTCACCAACAAACAATCCAGCGGAACACGGGAGAAGCGAGGATGAGACAGACATAAGAATAGATGAGGATACTAGAGGGAAGTCGACTCAGGAATCTCGGAATGTGAGGATGGAGAAAGGTTCTCCCGGGATCCGTCGATAGGAGCAACCAAGGGAGAGACAAAGGAGAAGCAGTCTAGGGCAACAGTGGTCGGGCGAGGGAGGAGAGGGACAAAACGGCACGGGAGGAAAAAAAACCTCTTAGGCGAGGTCCATCCAGCGACCGCGTTTATTAGACAAAGCTGAACATTGTTTTCCATTAAGATCCCCGAACACACGAAATAAACGGGACGGTGGCGTTTTGAAAAATTCCTTTCGCTGTTATAAGCTGTCCCAAACGGAGTCAAAGTATCAATGTCCACATATAATTCTACATTTAGACTCCACATGCATTATTTTTCGAGAGGTAAATACAAGATGGGTAGGGCGGAATATGGAGTGCGGGAAGGGAAGAACATGTTTAGAAGATTATAATTCAAGGTGACAGTTGTTTTTTCTTTTTGTTGCAGTTATCTACCAAAAATTTTGTCATTTGAATTTGACAAAATTTCTTGCATAAATATCGTCTGGAATTCTGAAGAACAAATATAGAAACATGATCTGCTCAAATCTGACATAATACCACCTAATTCTTATGTATATAAATATCTAACATCTAGGGGTTCTCTGGCAATGGATTTAGCCCTGTTTTTAAGATGTAAATCCCGTTGCCAAACAATCATTTTGGACAAGATAAAGCCGTGGATTTGATAAATCCAAATTTTACGGATTTCGACCATAAATCTCGGATTTACTAAATCTTTCGAACCGGGGGATTTAATTAGTTCGTTGTGTAAATTTTGAGATTTAGCAAATCTATTGCCATACATTTTTCAGGATTTGGCCTATTCAGGATTTAGTGACTCCGAATTTGCGGAATTTACTAAATTCTAATAACTTAAATCTCATCCAGCCAGACACCACCCTAAAATTTAGTTTTAGCATTTATACCACCCAAAATTTTCGTAGCACATCAAAAATATCATTACTTTAACTTTTAAAAAGTGACCGACACGTATTCATGCACAAGTTGGCATGCATGTAAAAAATTAAAGTTTAAGTATTAAATTGGTAAATCAATAGAAATTGAGTGGTATTTATGTAAGTCCTCCAAATATAAAACACAAATTGCTACGACAGATTGATAATAGAAAGAGGATTTGCTAATTCCATAATCTTGTAAGAATATGTATGCGAGAAAGAGATAGCAAAGCAGAAGAACACAAAGCCATGCAAAGTTTTGCCTTAAACAGTTGATTAGCAATCCGAAGTACTATAATCGGCTCTCCAGGAGCCTCTAAACTTTACATATACAATGAGAGAGAGAGAGAGCTAACATGTACACACGCACATCAAATTATCCTTAGTTTTCAAACCTTGTGCATGGACCAACCAATATTGAGGAGAATGTTTGGTAGAATGCATTTGAAAGCTCTAGCATTCATTTTTAAATTTACTGTTGCATCCAATGGAAAATTTAGGAAAAAATATTACTGTAGGAGTCCTGATGCATAGCCGCATCAAGAATCCAATCAGCGCTAGACGAGCGATGAGACGGATGAGAGCTGGGGCAAAGCTAGACGAGTGACGAGGTGAACGAGAGCTGGAACGAACGGTCGCATGTTTCGAATTTACCCTCATATCGGCCTTGGACATTGAATTTGATTAATTAATAGTGCTCCATTAAGCTATGTATGAATCCTCCATCTCAACAATCTCTAAGGTACAATATACTACATGTTTTTTTGTAAAAGTATTTGAAGTCAAATTCAATAATGATCAAATTGCTGCAATAATGTTCTTATGAGATGAAGCAAGCTTTATTCATTTAATAATACTATAATTATTTAACAATCAATATAACTTTCATTATACACCTGATATTATTTTATAAAGACCTACAACCATACAAGATATCCCATTATTATCTTACCATTAGACTTTTGATCATTTATTGATTTTTTTTTTTATTATTTTTGTAATTTTGAGCACATGGTTGAGAATTCATAACTATAACTTAAGTATCATTCTCATCCAATTATATGTTTCGATCCAACATTAAATCTAGAATTGATTATTTGTCATACTTTCTCCTTGAATCTTTAAATTCTAACACGTATCAGTGAAATTTTGGAGATTCAACAACAACAACAACAACAATAACAATAACAACTCTTTATCCCACTAAGTGAGGCCGGCTATGTGAATCATTTTTCTCCATTGCCTTATATTGAGTGTCATATTTTTATTTAATTCTGATTAATTAAGATTACTTTTTATACAACTTATCATATTTTTGAGAAAATATTATATACTTTGTAAGCATATGAGGACAACAATAGATAGGTGGTCACATCGCCATAATTTAGTTTACATGTGACGAGACTCTCGTCCAATATTATCATCACGTACTTGCAAAATATGCAATATTTTCTCGAGAGTATTTAAAATTAGACCTAAAAAGAATTGGGAACGCAAGTTGAATACTTAAATATTATCAGATTCATCTCCTTTAAACACTTGGAACTAAATATTTTTCAACAGTTGAGTTCTCCCGATCATAGAATCAAGTCTAAAGGTTTTAAGTTGAATACGATGCTTTAGATAAGAAAAATTGCATTATGATTCGTGCTATTTTTTTTAAGTTAATAAATATTATTTAGCGAAACAAATAGTAAACAATAATTGAAGTTTTTTGAAACTTTAAAAATAAAAAATGTAATTATAATCTTACTCCAAATATAATTTTTTTGTGTTTTTTTCTTTTTTGTTTTTTTGGTTTTCCAAAATTTACTCATATTATATACAAATTTCAATTTGAAAGTTTTTCTAAAATTCTTAGAAGCGAAAAAATATTATGTCTGGTAAATCAGATAAATGAATGTATGGTGTAATATAGCCGGACGTCCGACTCATGATATGATGCGATCCACACTGTCATTACATAATATTTACTCCTATAAAGCCGGTCTATTTTTACAATTTCCAAGAAAAAAATAGTTTTATTTATGTCATCTAAATCTTCCAAGAAAAAAATAGGTTTTATTTATGTCATCTAAATCTTTCTTATCATATTAAAATATGATTATTTTACTTTTGTAAAAATTGGCATCAATGTAATTACAAGAAGTTTGAGTGGTCTGTATGTAAATCTGCCCAAGATTTATCCGAAACAAAATGATATCCTGTTCGTCTTCTCCGCCTCTGAAAAAAGAGCACAGCTGCTCAGGTAAATCTCCTTCATGGCATTTCCCACCTCCCCCTCACTTTCGTCCATTACGACGTCCCTGCCTGTTTCTTCATCGTCTTCATCCTCCTCCTCATCCTCCTCCCGACCGGTCTTTCCCAATCGCTCCGCCGCCCGCCAACCGCAGCCCGCCACCGAGAAGCCATCCCTCTCCGACCAACTCCGCCCCCTCTCCCTCACCCTCCTCAAGCAATCATCCTCCCTTCTTCTCACACCCTCCAATCCGAACCCCACCTGGACCAATCCCTCCAAACCCAAACACCCCATCCTCCTTCCACACCGTCACCCCCGCCATACGCACTCCCAAAACCCCGATCTCCGCCTACTCTTCCTGTCATCTCGTTCCCTCTCCGCCTCCTCCTCCGACGAAGATTTCAACACCGCCTTCCCCGACCCCCTTCCCCGTTCCTCCGCCCTCCTCCTCCTCAACTCTATCCACCCATGGCAAAAGGCCCACCGCTTTTTCCTCTGGCTCCAATCCAAATCCCCCTCCTCCACTCTCGAAACCATTTTCTATAACATAGTCCTCAAATCCCTACGCGCCGGCCGTCAATTCGCTCTCGCCGAATCCCTAGCCAACGAAATGATCCGCCATGGCGTCCCCCTTGACAATATCACGTATTCCACCCTCATCACATGTGCGAAGCGCTGCCGCCACTTCGACCGCGCGATCTACTGGTTCAACCAAGTCTACAGAAATGGCCTCTTGCCTGATGAGGTCACCTACTCTGCCATCCTCGATGTGTACGCGGAGCTCGGCCGGCGAGAGGAGGCGATCGCGCTCTACGAGCGTGCGCGTGCCGGTGGCTGGACACCGGACCACGTGGCCTTCTCCGTCCTCGCAAAGATGTTTGGTGACCTGGGGGATTGTGATGGGATTCAGTACGTTCTTAAAGAACTGAAGACGCTTGAGGTGAAGCCTAATGTGGTGCTGTATAATACGCTGCTGAGTGCGCTGGGGAAGGCCAAGCAACCTGGTCTTGCACGCGACCTGTTTGACGAAATGCTTGCTGCTGAATTGACCCCGAATGAGAAAACACTAACTGCGATGATTAAGATTTATGGGAAATCGAGGTGGGGGAAGGACGCGCTGGAGTTTTGGAACACAATTAAAGCGAAGAAATGGCCTGTAGATTTTATTTTGCGTAACACTTTACTGAACATGTGTGCTGAACTTGGTTTGGAGGATGATGCAGAGAAGCTGTTTGATGAAATGCGGCAGTCAGGCAAAGGTCAGCGGCAACAACCAGATAGCTTTAGCTACACAGCAATGATCAAGATATATGGTAGCAGCGGCAAGCCCGACAGAGCGCTGCGGATGTTTGATGAAATGCTTGAGAAAGGGGTGGCGCCAAATGTGATGGGAATCACATGCTTAATCCAATGCCTGGGAAAGGCTGAGAAGATTGATGATGCTGTGCAAGTATTTAACATAGCACTGGAGAAAAAGATAAAGTGTGATGACCGACTTTGTGGTTGCTTGCTCTCGTTGGTGGCTATGTGCAATGAAGCCAATAAGAGCAAGGTGCTTGCTTGCTTGGAGAAGGCTAAGCCAAGGTTGGTTGGGTTTGTGGAGATGCTAAGCGACGAAGGAGCTGACTTCAACGAAGTTAAGGAGGAGCTGAAGGGGATTCTGAACGAAGCTGCTGTTGATGTTCGTAGGCCATATTGTAATTGCTTGATAGATATATGTAGGAACAGAGGGTATCCGTCTCAGAGAGCTCATGAGCTTCTGCGTTTGGGAACCATGTATGGATTGTATCCTGGATTGCATACAAAAGGGTCTGAGAAATGGGATTTGAATCTGAGGTCTCTATCGGTTGGTGCAGCCTACACTGCTTTTGATGGGTGGATGGAGACTTTATTGGATTTGATTGAGGATGAAGAAGCTTTGCCTCAGATTTTTTCTGTTCAAACTGGTTCTGGAGCTCACAGATTTTCACAGGGGTTGGGCTCTTCTTTCAGCTCATATTTGAAGGAGTTGGCTACTCCATTCTGGGAGAATGGAGAGAGTGGCTGTTTTGTTGCTAGAAAAAAAGATTTGCTCTTATGGCTGAGGTCTACAATTTCTTCAGATGTGGCTGTTGCCATATAGATTGAGGTTTGAGCAGTCTTTCGATTCTTTTAATGTTAATTAGATCATGAAAATGTCTTCCTTTCATGTTTTCTTACCATAATTATGAATTTAAAGGGAAGGTTAACTTTCTCATAATAATCATATCGCAAAGTTTTCAGATTCTCTTGCTTTATGATGGCTTAATCCAGCCATCCAAGGAATAAAAGTAAGGGGCATTAAGATTGTAGAAACCTTGAAGTAATTTTATTTCTTTTTCCTATCCATAGATTACACTTTGTCACACACATATCTATGTAGTACTAAAAAGAAACAAAATAGGAATTCCTTCAAAATAAAAAAATAAAAAATAAAATATTTAATAAAGGAAATACATTTAGTGAAATATATTCTGAGAAAAAGAAACTAAATTCCTTCTTAATGCAGATTGACACCTTCCAATACTCCCCCTCAAGCTGGGTTACAAACTAAGCTTGGACTTCAATTCATCATGATTGACCTTTAGTGTTTTGATAAAAAAATATCAGGATGTCATGTAGGAACATATCTGGGCTTAATAATTTTATTGTTAACTTTTTTGAGATGAAGTGTTGGTCAATCTCGATGTTCTTTGTTTTCTCATGATGCATGGGATTTTTGGATATAATAATATTTGTTTGACTATCATTGAACATCTTAATTGTGTTTTTCATCTCAATTATGTTCCCTTAATAGTCTTGAATCCACATTCCTCATATTCTTGGTGCAAGAGCATGATATTCAAATTTTGCACTACTCCGAGGGACAACAACATGCTTCTTTGCTTTTCCATGTGATGAGATTGCCTCAGATGTTTGAACAATATCTAGTAGTTGATTACATACTAGTTACATCTGCTGCACAGCTAGCATCTGTGTCTATCTCAATCGCTTAGTTTTAATATCTTTTGAAGAACAAAGCGTATCCAGGAGTCATCTTCAAATATCTCAAACGTTTTTTCACTGCTTCCAAATGATCCTCATTTGATTTATTCATGTGTGGAGTTTCTACAGTTACTAAGTATGCAAACAATATCAGGTCTTGTGTGTGATAGATAAAGTAGTTAGCTCATAAATCTTTTATATCTTTCTTTGTCAACCAAACTGCTTTCTTCACTTATGTTCGGTATTTTGTTGGAATCCATAGGTGTGTCAGCAAAGTTACACCCTAGCATGTCAATTTACTTAACAGGTCTAAGATGTACTTCCTTTGGGATATGTCAATTCTCTCCCCTCCTTAAATTGAGCCACCTCCATTCCCAAAAAAATATTGAAGATTTTCGAGGTCATTGATCTAAAATTTTGTTGGAATATGATTTTTAGTCTGATAATCCTCCGAATCATCACCTATCGAGATAATATCATTTATATATACTATGAGAATGGTAATTTGTCTTTAGAATTGGATTTAACAAAAAGTGTATGATTAGCTTGACATTGATGGTATCTATTTGTAATCATTGTTTTAGCAAACTTATCAAACCAAGTACGAGGAGATTGCTTCAAGTATATAAAGACCTCTTCAACCTGTAGACCAACCTGTTGTTTGACCTATTTTTTAATCCCAGAGGTATAATCATGTAGACTTCATCAAGTTTGTCATTCAAGAAGGTGTTTTTGATATCAAGTTGGTATAAAAGCCAATCTTGATTTACTGCAAGAGAGTAAGATACCCTTTTTGAATGAGTAATCGACGAAAATACATTTGAGAGGCTTGAGGTCAAGTTTGGTAAGGTGTTGTTGATGTATGTGAATACAGATAGAATAACAAAAAACCTTCAATGATAAGTTGGGAGAAAAAGAGTGTTCATATGGGTAGATTTTCATGAGAACATCATTGGAAATTTGAAAATTTAAAACTTGATTAGGCATCCTATTGATGAGGCATGAGGCTTTGAGAATGGCTTCCCCCAAAAAATATTTAGGTACATGATTAAACAACATAATGGCACGGGCCACCTCAAGAAAGTATATTTTTTTTTTTCGTGATCACATTTTATTAAGGAGTATTCACACAAGAACTTATATAGATTATACCATGCTTGGAAAGATAAGGACTAAGGATGGCATTAAATTATTTCTTAGTATAATTAGTTTTATAAATTTGAATTTTATTCTGGAATTGGGTGAGAATCATGGAAAGGTGGGATTGAAATATGATGCATGTTTTAGATTTTTCTTTCATAAAGAATGTCCATGTTGTTCTTGTGTGATCCTTTATGAATGATACAAACCATGCCCCTTTTATAGTGCTTATTTATAAGGGTCCCTAGATATCATTGTGATTATGGAAAAAAGATGTAAAGGCTTGTATTGCAATTGGGAATGTATGTCTTGTATGTTTTGCAAGTTGACAAATTTCACATTGATAAAGATTGAATTTTTTAGTGATAAATAGATGTGTAAACAAATTTTTCATGCTCACAAAATCTGAATGACCAAGATGACAAGGACTCGACATGACTTGACTTTCAACAAACTTGGAATTTGAATTGGACTTAGAAATATAACTTGACTAGTAACATTGCATACTGTCAATCACCTTCCTCAAACTCACAACCTGAAACAGTGCTACGATGTTACTAGTCAAGTTACTATTTTCTTTGAGCAAATACGGATCTTCATGCATTGCAGCACTGTAAATGACCTTCCTCGAAGTCACAACTTGAAAATAATAACAATTGGAATATAATTTAGTCAAATGTTTTAGGTCACAAGTAGGTCTGCTAATTGAGAGTAGGTTGTGATTTAATTTTGGAACAAAAAACATAAAGTAGAAGTAAAGATTCTTTGTCAATTCGACTGATCTAGTTCATGCTACTAATGAGAATGAACCATCAACTATTTAGACTGAAGAATGACTGGTACATGCGTTGTAATTTTTGAAGACGTTGATTGCTCTAGTCATATGATATGACACTACAAAATCATTTATTCAAGTTTTGATTATTTGCTTTGGACACTAAAATCATGGGATAAGACACTTGGTGTGCTAACAGACCGACAGGTTGCTCGACAGATAATTGTGTTGCTTGTCTAGTCCTAGAACTATTACTAAGCATTTTCTGCAACGCCTCAATTTGGTCCCTGGTTAATGGGCTGAATTCTGAATTGTTGTTGTAAGATATGATAGAGATTGAAGACAGGCTTGGATATATATGTGACTCCCGAGGAAATTGATTATGAGACTGTCATGTTTTGATCATAATAAGACTGTTAAGCTTGAAGCGAGAAAATTTGCTGCACAAATAAAAGTGAGAGGAGAATCCTTAGTTTGACTGCTCAATTTGATGAGCGAAATAGTGTCAAAACCCCGTTTGATAACTTAAAATTAATCAAGTAAAGAATTGCGATCAGACGTTATTAACATTTTATTTATTTTTCACCAATTTTCATTACTTTCAATTTACAAAAGAGCCACTAAGAAATCACAAAATGCATTTCACAGAAATCAAATCATTCAAACTTAGCATCATTGTTTTCAAGTAAAACATCTCAAAACAATACACAACAATATTACTACTCAGAAGTAAACAATATCATACAAAAACTACAATACACAACATAATATATATCAACAGTAGTCATACTGTGAACTAAATCTTTTATATTAGACATCAATCTGCAGTTTTTCTCTAAGAACAATTAAATTCAACAGTAAGTTTTCTATACATATTGTTGTTTGAACAATTACAATCTTCTTATGCATTAAATTAATATACAAATACTATACATGAATGTCTCATAAGGGTATATAATTTATTGATAAATCAAACTATAAACTTTCATTTCTAATTTAACACTTCTCATTTTAATTTATGCATTTTCACTTTTCAACCTCTTAAAGAATTCATATCAGTATTATCGTTATACCCGAAGGTATCCTCAAAATTGTATTCAAAATTATTATACTTTTTACCATTTCCGTTTTTGTTTTCGTGCGCGGGTATTTTACATCCTCTATCAGTATCATTTAGGAGTAATCTTGAATGAATTAAGTCTTCACATTTCATTTTTTTTAATTACTTCCTTTTAAAGTTATTGAATAATAATTTTTCCCTTTTATCATTTTATTTCTTCTTTTTTTTCAATGATTATTTTAACTTAAATATAAAAGCAAGTATCTGAAACAAGAATGCAAGTCTTTATTTAATAAAATATCAATTTAATATATATAAGAAAGTGATTACTCACTTTAACTTTTAAGCGACCTCTGTGAAAATTCATTCATCCACTTAACTTCATCTTGCTTATCTATATCAATTAAAAATGCAAGTGTAAAGATTTTAATCTCTCTTTCAATTCTAATCATAGATTCTACCTCAAAAAAAAATTCAACATATTCTTACTGACATTCAATTAAAACAACTTATATGATAAATAACTCTTACATCCACTTCACCATGTCTTCAATCTTTACAAATCTTATATTAAATAGTCTTTTTCCACACTTCCTAATTAAATAAAATTTAATAACATTAATTTAACAAATTATATCATTAATTAACATAAACCTTACATTTATCTTTTTAGGCTCTACATCGAACTCCTCCCTAACCCGCACACAAAGCTTTCTTGCTAGTCTTTCTGATCTCAATTAACATAATATTAACATTAATTAAAATAAAATATTTAACATATACTTAATAGCAAACTCTACTATTTACCTTAATTATTGGGCACAGCTAGGAAGCTCGCAAAGTTGCTCCACTCCTCTATCTCGCACGCTCGGGCTTCACTCCACTTCAAGGCTTGGTTGATTCTCCTCCTTCGTGCACGAAGTTGCTCGCTTCCCCATCTCTTTCTCCTATGCGGCTTCATCTCTTCCCTTCTTCGCACGGGACATTTGTAGCCCTAATTCCTTCAATTCTTCTTCCTTCGCATTGGAGCCGCTCGACTAGGGTTTCCTCCTTTATTGCTCCTCATTGCCACTCGGTTCTGGTAAACCCCAAAGGAGATATGTTCTTTAGAACAAATGTTTGAACGATCTTCAAAAATCAATCATTGGAGCCAATTAAATCAATTTCTTCTTAATGGGGATTGATACTTTCCAATAAAGATAAATCACGTTCTTTTTTTCACCATCCACTAAAACAGAATGCTTCATAAGTTTCATCACATACAACATAGAAGATCTGCCATTGTTTTCCCACCCAAAATACATCAAAAGAATACCATATAGGAAAATTGTAAAAAAAAAGCTCATTCCCCCAATTCTGTGCATCTCCTAAAACAGAAAGAATAAACCAATACGCTCCCACCAAAATGAAACGATGTATTCTCCCATCTTTCCAAACCCATCTTCATTTATTGTTCATGAGAAACGGAAGCTGAGAGCTTGGTAGATGTATTATGATTCTCCGAAATTTCTCCATGAATAAGCATAATGAAAAGGTTTTGCCGCATTGAAAGAGATCAGAAACAAATTAGCACCTTAGTTCCCCGCTTGTCTTTGGAATGGATTTAGCCGAGTCCTGGAGGCTTATGGTTGTGCATAATTGGCCCTTCAGTTCTAAGCAGATGCAGATCACACGTATTTTCCTGAGGACTTCCATATTCTTCCCTCTAGAGATATAACCATGACAGTTACATCATCATGGTACTTTCTCCGGTCGCCCTGAGGTATGTCCAACAGTTCATGGAAGTCCATTCCTGCAAGTAACAGCTTTGGTCAGGTTTCTGAAGTTACGCAGTATAAACTGGAGCAATAAGGAAGGTTAGGGTTTGAATGATTCATTACTAATGACTTCACATCATATCTTTTGAAGGAATTTATTTCATTAAAAATTTAAAGCAAATAGTTTATAAACTTGATTACAGGTACAAAGAAGGCTAATTTTGGCTATGAAAAGGGTGGACTTGATAATTCTTTGATTCAAAAGTGCATTTATTCTTTGGAGAACTTACATACAGACCACCTGAAATTTACTATTTACAAATCGACCGCCCTCTTTCATCCATTTTTCAAGTTCTCACTCAAATATCAAAATTCATGGTAAAACCCCAACCTCCATGTTTCATTTTTATCAGATTCTCAAAAGATTGATTGCATCACGTGTAAATACATCGGTTCGATAGATCAAAAGAATCACGTAGGTGAAATATCAATATTTCAGCTGGTCTGTATGTAATAATCCCTATTTGATAGGTAGAAGGGGAGACTTGACATGTTTTTGATATGTCAGATACGTGTTTAATTGAAAAATCTAACATACATTTCCTGAATACTAATGTCAACTTAAGAATTATATTACATAATGTTGTAAGTCCTTATTTTCTTATTTGATGTTGAAGTTCCAGTTGCCAACATCAGTCGTGGCATCTTTATTAACATATTCTGCAAGCAAATGTCATAAGAGCAAATTCATCAAACCTACCATGACCTAATTGCTCATCTTAGACTAGTTCACACCACGTGGAAGTCCTTTTCGCCTCGCATGAGTTAATTGCTCCAGTTTTATATTATAACAACCTGCTACGAAGATTTATTAAAATTTGCCTGTAAGGCTTATCAGATCACTTTGGGAATATATTAACTGGAGCAATTACGTAACTACTGCAACCTAAAAGATGGAATTGTGAAAAAGAAAAAATGTAAATGATTCTCCAATTTTTTTATATGGGTCAATTTTAGTATTTTAATCCCAGACTCTTTTAATAGCGGGCAAAAATAGTCCTACCTATAAACTATTTCAACCCATATTGAAAGAGACTGAGGATTAATTTTGCACTTTTATAGACTGTGGGACTAAAATGATCATGTAAATAGTCAGGGAGACTATTTTGACACTTTACTCGATTATGAAGAGACTGCTAAAAAATCAGAAGTCCTGAGAGGGCATATCTAAAATGATTTTATCCTTGTATTTACAAAGAAGTCTTTTCTAAGAAGTCCTAAGATCAACAAAAAAAATAAAAATAATAATAGTAAACAGCCACTCTGACAAACTTATAAGACAATATAGGAAACATGCTCCAAATTTCAAAATCATTCACAATTATGAGATAAAGCAAAAACATCCCCCCTTTCCCAGTCACTAGTAGCAAGTAGAGAGGTAATTGAGCCAAGTTGACTCGTGAGCCAACTCATGCTCGACTCCATAAATGGCTCAATAGCTTGAGCTCAATGAGCTAATAAGCCAACCTCAAGCTAGACCTGACTCGACTTGCTAGTTCATGAGTCGACTCATATAAAAAAAATGAGATATACTCAAAATATATTAAAATTCAATACATTAGCTTTAAATTATTAAAAATATTTTAAGATTATATAAAGTAATTTATTTTTATTAGCCTCCTACCTGCTCGTTCTATTTGTCATTTTACTATAACCCTAGCTTGAAATAATATTATTTTCTCTTTTATAATAAACAAGCCGACTCAAACTCATCTAATTAAGCTCGAGCTCGAGCTTAAACTTCATTTAAGCTCAAACTCAAACAAGTGTGACTCGAGATCGTCTCGACTTGTTTACACCACTAGTTCTACTGCAAGTAGATGTCAACTACATGAGAAGCATCCCATGTTAGAGATATAATCAGAGGATACTTTGACAATTCTAGCTCCAAAAACCAAGGAATGTTGAGACCGGTAGGACGACAAATCTTCAAAAGGTGCATGTAGCGTTTGAGGCTTTCAATTTGAGGTTTGGGTGACGTTCAATATTAAGCTCAAATTCGAATCAAATCTAATCACTACATCAAACCTGCCCACTTAGACTCTCAATGTTATTGATGAAAGGTAAATTCTGTTGCTATCATCAATTAGATGTGTGGGTGCAGCATTGCCGTATCATGCTATAATCATCTTCTCCATGACAATGAACTACACGTGTAGTCGACGGCCGAGATCTGAACAAACCAAGATGCTTTAAAGTTTCAGCTTATTACCCCTCTAATCTAGCAGCTGTTGCAGTTTTCAATAAATGTTGGTAGTTCACCCAACTGAATAGTTTTATTTTTGTGCTATAAAATAGAATTTTTTACGTAGATCATTGATGGATGGCCAAGTAATCTATAACTTCACTTGTCCATGAGACACATGAATAGAAACAGAATTTACCTTCAGGTAGAAAAGACTGTTGAAAGGAAGTTGTGTGAAGTATTAGACTTTAATGTTGGAGGAAGTTGTGATGATTTTAGCCCTTCTACTTCATTTACTTCTTGATTTGGTTAATTAAGATGTTAATACCTATTGTGAAAACATTTAAGATTCGAGATGGTATTGTCTCAATCAACAAATGGTAAGATTCACATTTGATTTCATGGATGAGAATGTAGTTCATGGAGTTGAGTGTAAATAAATAGGAGATGAGATCAGATAAGATTGCGCGTCGACAATAATGATGCTTGACATCATCTCTAACAGACGTTATAAAAAGCAGGAGATTGGAGATGAGATCACTTCAAAGGCAATAATTACTTTTTCAATTGAGAGCCAGTCCAATCTAAAATAACATTAAAAGTCGTAAAAAAATAACGAAAATTCAGTATCCGAAAAGAATAAAAAAATTAATCCAATTATAATGGGGAAGATCATACATGTCAATAGTGCAAGCCATGGTGCATGATGGTGTGCCCTCAAACTCATTTGCATGACATGGCATGGTGAATCAAAACAGTTCGCTATTTGCGCTATGTATAAGCAATGGTGTATGGCCCTCGGGGATTGTGCAATGGAGAAAAAGGATTCATGTAGCCAACCCTAATTAGTGGGACAAAGATTTGTTGTTATTATTGTAATTATAACACAATGTTATTTATGTAAATATTAAACTATAGGTGTTGAATATGTAAATATATAAGAAGTGTGTGGTATGTTTGTAAATTTAGCAACACACGCATGTACATACATACGTATATAAGAGATAAAAATCTACCCACATTGTGTCGTTCACATGATAATGAATTTCATTTGCTCAATGAGGATGATGATAAAGATTATGCTTTAAGAGGTTATTAAGGATATAAGTTTGTTTGACTTATAATGATGAAAATTCTTTAGTTGATGCTTATGAAAATGTTAGACTTGAAAAAAAAAGGATAATATTTTGAATTTTAAATAATTGAGGTATTGAACATTTGAATTTAAGTATTACTTATGATGTTTCTATTAATGTGTCATTTTATCTTTTAATTCATTATTTTTTATATTTATCTGAATTTTTTAATATTTTTTTTAATATTTTGCATCATATTTAAAATAATGCACCCTGAGCCATGTACAATTGCTCTACAGAAAACTTTGTGGTATGATGCGCCATTTGCCATTGATATGTAGTAGGATGATGGGTGAAATGAATAGCCAGCCAATCATCATTTTTCTAGCCTAAACTCAACCCTCTCATAGTTTGTGTCATGTTGAGTGCTCAACAATATGTTTGGTACTTTCACCTTACCTGCTTTCCAACATCTATAGATTCTAAACAATATGTTATACTGTGGCTACTTCACTTTACAACCGTGCGAGCTATGAATTCACACTAATACATGCATGCTGGAGAATTAGCAGCGCAACAATCAACTCTTTGATTTTCTTTAAGCAAAAGTTCAATTACTGACTATCAATGCCATGAGATGATGGGAACAACAAATGTAGTTTTCTAGCTATCAGGATTACAAGCGTAAATTTTTGGTTAAAACCAAACCAAATCAAATTTTGGTTCAAAAGGTTTGTTTTCTAAAATATTAATTTTGCAGCTATTAGAAAGATTGTCAACCTTTAAAAAATCAATAAAATCAAGTTGAAAGTCTATTAGTCCTGAATTGGCCTACAACCCAAATCGCAATGATCATAATCAATATCCTCCATAAACAAGGCTTCCAATTTCAAAATCAAAATTTGCTATGGATGTATCTGATCTCTAGATGTGTTAACCATCCTTCATTTACTAATCATACTAGGACATCAAATCATATTTTCAGTTAAAGGTTTAGAAAATAAAACTTACCAGCTTTTTTCGCAGCACGAAACAGAAGCTCCTCAATCAAACTTTGGGCAGGATCACCTTCTGGAAACCTTTCAATAAATCTTTCAACATGCACAACTACTTCCTCATTGCTCAAATACTGATAAAGACCATCTGATGAAAGCACCAAAAACTGATCATTTGGTCCCAATTTATGGTGACAAAGAGAAGGAATACAGGAGACATATGGTGCAGTTCCAATGAATTCATTCCTGAACATTTCTAGTAACTCATTATTCCACTTGGCCTGAAATAGAACAAAATAAAAGAGAGACGCCATAAAAATCATCAGTTTAATGAAATGATATTGAAAAAAAACAATTAATATATAAGAGGTATATCATTAAAATCAAGCTATGTAAAACACAAATTACAACAAGTTGCAATAAATAATAGAGAAATTTATGCACGTAGCACACAATTCTTACGTATTTACATATCTCACACAAACTTTCATATTTACATACATAGCATTTCAGTGTTTTGAAACCTATGCATGAAAATGTATATTTCACTTTTAAAAAGTGATAATAGAGCTATTTTTATGTAATATTAAAAACTGAGTGCTATGTGTGTAAATATGAAAGTTTAGGTGTGAGATTTGTAAGTACATGAGAATTGTGCATTATGAATGTAAATGCCCCTAAAAAATAAACAATGATGAAGTTTTTTTCATAAAAACAAGAAGCAGAGAGAGGATATCAAGAACAACCTCAAATCAGAACATACCTGTTTGAGGTACCCAGCCCCAAAAGCACGGGTCACTTTTAGGCGGCCCTTCACCCTATCATTTACAATACATTGGTTGTCATCAGGATGCTCTTCTTTTATCCTTAGAACCTCCTGCAAATGCAAAAACAAAAATTTCCAGACTTATGAATTTCATTCTCCACTCATTCCAACTAATAATTTCTTGTGTTGCTAAATATATGTTGCACCTTTTTTTTTTTTTTTTTTGACAATTTTCATATTATCTTTAGAATGTGCTTTTACTTTATAATCCCTCCACACTAAATCCATCTCATAATATCATTTTGAACTATAAATCCTAATTACTTGGTGAATGCCAGTATTATCGTGTCTTTAAAGCACCATCATGGCCTAATAATTTGGTCAAATTTATGAAACTCGTTCTCCATTTAGTGGATTACTAAACTATTCAATATTATTTTAAAACTAATAAGCTATCAGCTGAGTGGAGAAAGAATATGTTAGTTTCTATTTTTAAAAATAAAAGAGATGCACAAGAGTGTAAATTATGAAGGACTTAAGTTAATGTGTCATACATTAAAATTATGGAAAAGAATAATTGAACATAGTTTACGACGTGATACAAAAATTTCTCAAAATCAGTTTGGAATCAAGTCGGTCAAGTCTACTATGGAAATTATACATTTATTGATAGGTTTGATGGAGAAGTACTGAGAGAGTAAGAAGGATCTACATATAATTTTTGTTGAATTAGAAAAAACTTACGAGAAGTTCCAACAGAGATACACTGGAGAGTTCTAGATAAGAAATGTGTTAATATTCCTTATATTCAAGTCATTAAAGATATGTGTACTAGAGTTGTTACTTATGTTCGAACACAGAGAGGATTGACCAAATATTTTTTTCCTATTTCAGAGTGATTACATTAGGGTTATGGATGCTCTTACTGGACATTTATAGAAAGATGTACCTTGGTGTATGTTTTTTGTTGATGATATCTTTCTTGTGGATAAGACTAGAGAGAATTCATGAAAAACTTGATTTATGGAGGTCAACTTTAAAATATAAAGGCATTCATTTGATTAGACCTAAAATTTAATACATGTTATATAATTTTAGTAGTAATAGATCTAGTGACTAAGTTGTAACAATTGTTGATCAAGGCACTAAAAGGAGTGAACATTTTAGATATCCCGTGCTCTGGTTCAAAGTGATGGTTGATATAGATGGGGATGCTATTAGTAGAATTTAAATTGGATAGTTGAAGTGGAGAAACGCATCAAGCCTATTGTGTGATGGAAAAGTATAGCTTAGGCTTAAAGGAAAATTTTATAAGATGGTGGTGAGAACTGCAATGCTTGATGGGTGCAGAATTTTGGCATGTAATAAAGAAGCATAAAATTAAGTCAAGTGTTGTTGAGATGAGAATGCTCAAGTGCATGAGTGGCGGTACACTTAAAGACAAAATGTGGAACGAATGTGTCCATGAAAATGTTGGAGTAGCACCAATGATAGACAAGTTTAGAGAGAGTCGCCTTAAATGGTTTGGGCACATTAAACGTCGACCATCTGAAAACCATATTAAGAGAGTAGACGTTTTAGATTTAGCTTATGTTAAGAAAGATAGAGGTGGATCTAAAAAGACTTGGGCATGTTGTATAAAAAAATGATCTTAATTTATTAGAATTAAATGAAAATATAACACTCAGTAGGACACAATGAGAAAAATGATTCATGTAGCTGACCCCACTTAGTGGAACAAAGGCTTGTTGTTGTTGTATTCTCCATTCTTTCCTATTGAGTGTTTCATGTTGTGTTAAGTTTATTTTGTCACTTTTTTTTTTTTTGGCATTTTCATTCAGATCATCTTTAATATGCCCATTTTGCTTCATAATCCCTCTACTTTAACTCCTCATATTTAAAAATTTCGAATTAATCTAATATTTGCTACCCCACTTAACTTGATTGTTAGACATCTTTATTGCCCAAAAATCAAAACCATATAACACCATTGTTTTAATTGTTATTTTATATAATCCACCCAATTCTCCATAGTAAGAAACCCAATTTTTTTTCAATAATATATACATGCCATTCAGAGTAGAAAGCATAATTGGTTGAAAATCCACTTGGTTCCATCAAGGAAGTGCAAAAAAAGAGCTTATGAATTCTATTGAGCACACTATTTTGCAAGTAAGCATATGCCTTCTTTAAAATTGCATTATATAACTCTATAAATGATAAACATGCAATAGACCAAGACTATTCTATCAATGATCAGTACTCCATGAGCTAGTAAAATGGTTGCATTATAAAAAGCAATGGAGAAAAACTTTAATATAGAAAAAAAAGGAAAATTTACATGCGTAGCACACAATTATTATGTATTACATATCTCATACCTAAACTTTCATATATCATACAAAGTGCTTTAGTACTATAAATCTATACATAAAAAGGTGTACTTGACTTTAAAAAAGTGATATTTTTTACGTGATTAAATGCTTGGTGCTTTGTGTGTATATATGAAAGCTAGGTGTGAGATATGTAAATACATAAGAATTGTGCGCTATGTATGTAAAAGACTTCAATAATAGAAAACTTACTTCAGGAATGCTGGTATTGTGATCAGTAGAAAGCTGCAAAGCCTTCAAATCCATTCCCTCCCGACCAAATAAACCCTCAATCTCTACTACTTCATACCCACCCTTCTCTGCATCTTCCTGTAACCTATACTGAGCCACAATCGCCCTGCTATCCCCAACATTCATAACGTATACATCCTCATCCCTCATCAACACCACAAGCAAGCAAGATCCCATCAAAGCCATCTCTGGATTGCTATCCATTGCCCTATCTGTCATCTCCAGGTAAGCGGTCTCTGTGGTTTTGAGCGCCCTCGAAAGAGCCCTAAGAACCAAATCATGATCGGAAACCGGTCCGGCCTTCCTCTGGCGATAACTCCTCTCCGGCGCATCTTGGATTTCCTTCGCCTTCTTCCTCCAGCTCCCAAACCCGCTTCTCAGCTTGGAGAGCGACAAGGCAAAGCGGCCTGAACCAGAGAACTCCAAACCACCATCCTCATCTCTTTCAGCTAGGAATTCTCTCAAACGCCTGGTAGGCATACTCGAATTCTCTCTGAAAGAGACACCCTTCACAACAGTTTCCTGTCTTGATTCCTCAACTTCTTCCCAAAACAAACCGCGTAGCTCATTAAATATGGATCGGTAGAGATTGTCCACCAGAAATTCTGGGGCTTCCGGTCCGTTGAACCCGTCGTAGATCCCGACGAAAAGCCATTTCTGCTCCTCCGAGACGACGACGTGAACCCGGTCTTCGCCGGCTTTGCCGTGAGCCCACTGAACGTTTCCGGAAGCCTCCGGCGCTCCGCCGGCGTCCGGATCGTATCTCCGGCCACGGATTCCATGAAGGGGTACCACAGATGGTCGATTCTTCTCCGAGAAACTTCGCCGGAAAAGCGGCGTGCTATTTCGTCTCTTCTTCCACTTCTTCACCAAAGGTCCGGAGAAGGGAAGACCCGTGTCACCGTCGGCAACATCGATCGGACCGGAGAGAAAGAACCCGCGGTCCAGATCGCCGGCGAGTTGAAGCGGGAGGGTCGAGAAGGAGGAGGAGCTCTGGAATCCGCCGGGGTGTAAAGTTGATTTGGAGTTATCGTATATGGGGAGAATGGTTGAAGAGTTCGCGGAAACAGATGCGCCGGAGATGGCCTTGAAGGCGATCTCCACCGCCGAGGCAGCGGACGAGGAGCGCGAGTGCGCCGGGGAGGAAGAGCGAACGTAGCAGAAAGAGTGCCCTAAAGTTTCATCAAGCGGTCCCGGCTCGAACACCGGGATCTCCTCGCCGCCGACGGCTGTCGGCCGGAGGCATGATCGGAGGTGACGTGAGGCTCCGCTTCCCATTAAATGATTATAAAAGATGTCGATTTTTACGTAATTCGATGCTTTTCTTCACATTTTTTCAGAGAAAAAGAGCAGAGCGAAGATTTAGAAGAAGAAGAAGAAGAAGAAGGAGAAATGAAGGGAGAGTGGGAACTCTCCGCTCTGTTTCACTGTCTCTTTTTCCGTCACTCCAAAAAAAAAAAAAAAAAAAAAAAGGGCAGTTGATGACGTGGCAATAAAGGACCAAGCGGTCAGCTCCGCGTGTTAATTCCACCCTTATATTTTCAAGAATTCACCACGCGAAGCAAGAGAGGGAATTTTTGAAATGAGGGCTGTTTTAGTAATTTTGTAGGAGAATAATAAGAAAAATGAGTGGGGAGATCGGACGGCTGAGATGCTGTGAAATGTCGTCGCGATCACGGAGTCAAACTGGCGGGGAACCCCACTCCACATAAACGCATCTTTTACACGCATTTCGCGAAAATTTCCCGAAAGAGAAAAATGGGCCTGCAAGTCAATTGGAGTCCAGAATCGGAGTTTGCTTAGCCTTCGCGCTGCTGAGTTGCGTTTCAGCTTTTACTTCTGTGCGAGGCAAAGGTCCGATAGGGACACGAAAGAGAGGCGGAGATAATTGCTTATGTTCCGTCTTCGAGTCAAGTTGAGTTGGGCTTAAAATCGTCCAAAAGTTTTTTAATTTGAAACTTTGGCTCGCAATTCGGCTTGATCTCCATCTGAGCCAAAATTCGAATCAATTTTCAAGTGATTAATAATTTTCAAGCTATATTCATTCTACCATTGCAATAATGATTAATGAAAGATATTGCTGATGCTAATTATTAAGTAATAATAATTTAAAGATAATAATCAAACAATAATAATCATGTGACATTATCTAGGCTATGATAATCATTGGCGGTGTTTAATGTTTATTAGTGGTTGTTGGATTAGAGCTCTCTTTTTGAGTTTAGATTTAACTAATGCTTAGTAGCTCTATGCACTTCTCTCACTCATATGAATAATGAGGGTTTATTTATAATTTCTTAAATAGAGAAATATTCTGGTAAATTTCATCATGATTTTAAGATACACTATCGAGCGATTAGTGTCATCTTGGATTGGATGACATGCTTTTATCATATCCTTAATTTTATGCATCAATAGTATTGGGTACAATGTGTGTTAAGGTTGAAGACTCTCATCATGCCATTTGACTTAACTATAGGCATGCCAAATGTAGAAACTGTTTAATCCTTCAATCATGGGTTTGATGCTTCGAGTAATTTTTAAGTGTGTGATTTAGACTCATTTGAAGTCAAATCGACATATATATGAGTTAAAAGAGAATGTATTGAGTATGCCAAACCTAAAAAAGAAAAAAAAAACAGAGCATGACCTATATATAATGATTTTACTATTATGTGACAAAATACAAATGATGTTTTTTTCTCATACTCGGCTACATAAATGGTGTAAAATAAGCTCTCTAGTATAAGTTGGAATGGCATTGATGCTCTAGAGTTGCCTTTAAGTGATCTCTTGAAAAATGTTCTTTCTTATTTGATAAAAGGAGTTAATAGAACAAAAAAGTTAGTGTCATCTTGGATTGGATGACATACTTTTATCATATGCATAATTTTATGCATCAATAATATTGGGTACAATGTGTGCTAATGTTGAAGATTCTCTGCATTGTTGCCGATGATGGAGACTAGATAATTTTGATTGAGTGATAATGGCTAAGAGGTCATAAACAAGTGACTATGGATGTAGCTAGCTAACATAGGATAAACAACTATAGTTGGTTAACAGTGGTTTGGCGATCGTAGTTTGTTGATGAAGATTAGGAAGTTGTAGATGAGCAATTGTTGTCAAACTATTGTAGTTTGGACCTATAACAGATCATAAGTTTATAGTCGAGTGGCAGGAATCAAGAAATCGTAGTTTGAAGGCGAGGTTAAAATATTGTAGATTGGCGACTTTTCTCAAGCGATTATAGTTGAGAGCCGAAAATTGGTTAGATGTAGTATAGAAACAGTTTTAGTTTAGAAATTGAGATTAATAAGTTGCATACGTGCGACTAATGTGAAGTGATTGCGGATAGGAGCCAAAGTCAAGCAATTATAGTCCGGTGATAGGAGTTGAGGCATACAAATTTGAAGACTAGGTTAGGAAGTTATAAATAGGTGTTTTTTATCAGATGATTGTATTTAGGAAGTTGTAGGAGGGTGTTGGCTTTTAAGAGACTATAAGTAGGCAACTTTTTGACAATAGTGATTGAGTGGAAGTGGTTTGAACAATGAGGGATTGACATTGTTGGTCGAATAATGGTGGTTTGATGGTAGTGATGGCGACAGACGACAGTGGTTTGATTGTGGCAATTTAACTTATCATTTTTATTTTGTGCATTATTGTTTAATTTTAAACTATCAAATAAATTATTTATAAATGGTTTTAAGGGATTTTAGAATGTTCAATTATCAAGATGGTTTTATTTGAGCAACAAATTTTTTAATCTTTCTGTTGAGGAGAACCTAAATAAATTGAAAATGTTTAAACCCTCAGAGAATGATTCTAAATACATTTTTGAGTCAATATGAAGTTATCAAATTCAAAATATTAAAGAAAATTTTGTATTGAATGATCTACAAATGATGAATTGTAGGTGCTCAAGAAATTTTGTATTGAATGATCTTCAATTATCAAGATATTAAAGAAAATTTTGATATGAAGTTATCAAACCCTTCTAATAAATGGAGTTTGGTGGACTAATAACCAAAATTTATAATGAAGAAGGAATATAGCCTCATCCAAATAATCAATATATGCCATTCAAAACTTTACGATTTATAAAGATTTCAACTAACCCAAAAGTTGGTAATGCATGGTAATACTTGAAAGGTCAATTATCGAATGCTAGAATAGTTCTTACAAATGGAGAGAGTAGGTTGAATAACTAGAAGTTGATGCTTTATAGAGAATAAAAAAAAAAGAAAAAAGAAACTTTAAATGACTAATTGGATATGGTCAAGATAATCTAAAGACATCAAACAATTACAAGTGATCAAGATAAACTCTCTTAGATTCAAGCTGGTAGTGAAAACAGAATTTAAGTTTACTAAATTTTTTCGCTATAGACAATCAAAATAGTTCTAAATAAAAAGGGATAGAGTAAACGACCAAAAGTTTTATAATATCGAGATAAATCAAAAATATTAAAAAAAACAAGAGGTATTAGCAGAAGCCTTTCTAGTGATGGAGGGGTGAGTGGATTAAACAATGTAAATTGGTTTTAAACAAAGAATTAAAAATGATCAATAATGTTAAATACTTCTCAAAATTAGGGTTTCAAAATCTAATGATGCATGAATAACCTAAAGATACCATAATGATTGACTAAATTGTTAGGTGATCATCTAAGCTTTAAAATTTACAATAATTATAGATTTCAAATTATCTAACTTATTGAGAAATATGGCTAATTTATGATTTTTTAGGGGAATTATTGCCCGTAAAAATAGTTATCTCAAAATATTTATTATTTTTATCATCAATAGTTTGACTAGAGTGTACACTCCACTGATAAAAAAAGTGCTTAGGAGATCTTGCTTCTAAGTTAACTTGGAATTTGTTTAGGGCAGCTGCAATTGTTTGAAGAAGCAACTATGAAGTTTTTTTAGGAGAATCTGCTATAAAAAATCTGTTGTTGGTGAATCAATATGTCTATTTGGAAAATTTAGCTTTAAATATGTTATGCTACAACTGTTTCTGAGACAAAATAGTATAATTCTCTTAGGTATATGTTAGTTATAAGTTAATCGTTTAGTAATGAAATAAAAAAGGACACTATAATAAATTTAAAAACTTTATAGCAAATTGGAAGTCTAACATATGACAATAAAAGTTACAAACCATTTAACAATGAGTAACACAAAAACCAAAATTATAATAACAACAAGCAATGCTATCATAATATTACTCTTGGTATCCAAATGACCAGTCTCTTGAAAAAATTTCTCTCCAAAGCTAATCTTCGCACATGAAATTTATATGTACTTACATATCAAACACCTAAACATTCATATTTATATATGTATGTAAACAATGTATCACATAATACATATACCACCTCAAAACTTTACATGACTTCTAAAAAATCACCATCATTATCTTTTTAAAAATGGAATTCAATTTTTTATGTCATGTTTCTATGCATTTCCATGTTATGTGCATATGTATTTAAAAGTGGAGTTCATATATATTTGCATATCTAAGACCTAAACATTCATATATAACTCATAAACATTCATATGAATTATGTGATATTTATGTAAATATGTGGAATTCAAACATTCATGACATGAAAAAATTTATCAATAAAATAAAATAGACAAATGAAAATGAATCAAAACAAAGGGCTCGGATTAAAATGTCACTATTTATGCCCTCACATAAATTGAAGATGCATCTTCGATCTAGACAAGAAAATTTCCAATCATAACTAGAGTCGTACATGTGAGGCAAATATTTTAAGAAAATTTGAATAAACCTCATCAAAATGGTCCTAAAGGAGTAGCCAAAAGAGAAGAAGCATCCCCAGTTCAACTACGTAATGCCTATTATGACTTCATTGCATCATAGCCCCAAGCTAGAAAAACCATCTTTTGCAAGTTACATGGTAGTCTATCTATTGTCAATTGATGATACAAATTGAGAATAACTCCCAGAATCAGAATGACAAAGGATCATAGGAAATAACATTTGATAGTAGTCATAATGAAGCATATTAACACCAGAGCAAGCTCAAAGTAAGCAAAATTGAGCCAATCACTGCACTTATGTTCATGCTTAATGAGAAGATAAACTTTGCACTGGCTTTTCAAATGAAGTTTTCATACATAACACACGTTCTAATATATTTACATATGTCATACATAAACATTCATCTTCTTACAAAAAGATACAATAAGTTTATGATATCAAGGTACTATAAAGTGTAAATGTCAAACTTTAGTTTTTAGATGTCTTATGTAAGCCAATTTTCATATATTTTCTTAAACCACTATACCCTTGGGCATATACATAATCATCTATGAACCTTATTAAGGAATAGCTAACATGAATGTACTAAAAACAAGAAATGCTGACATAGAAAAATGTTAATTCATCAAGAATGAC